ACAAACAATCATGTCTACATGAAGTCAAGCAGGTGGTGGACCCTCTAACAAAAAAGTTACACAATACACCTTTATGTTTCAGTTTCAAACATACATGAAGTGACGCTGTATTCTAAACCAAAATCCCTCTATCTGTGTCATCAACACAGAAAACTTAAGAATGGCATTTCTCTGAGTCGTTTTAGGTCTTGCCTCCAAAACCCCCCCCCCAAAAACATGTGTTTCAGAACATGTTTGTAGAGCTTTAAACTACAGCATTAGAAGCTTTTACACAGAATAAGCAATAACCCAGTGGAGACAGAGGGAGGGCATCTGACACAACAGTGCACATTTAAAGGTCTTATATTACTCAAAACTGACTCTTGTGAGCTTTAAGTCTTGTTAGAAAGCTGTTACCTCCTCAAAAACATGCCTGGAGTTGTCATCATCTCCACAGCTCCAAATGTTCCGTTCCACCTTGTGATGTCATGTAGTGGTAAGGAGAAAATTCAGTTTGTCGACTGGAGAAAAGTTAGTGTGTTTAAAAACGTATCGCAGCTCATCCAAGCTGCTTCTTCAGTTGTGGTCCGACGCTGGTGGACACTTCCTTATATCTGCAGGAGGAGCTAACTACACTGAAACTAACACACACACTTGTTTACAGTTTGTGTTTGTTAGTTCGGCCTGTTGACCTGTACAGGGGGTGGGGTCTAATTAACAGAACAATTCAGGGCCATAATGGAGCTTCCACACCTCTGGACCTGACCTGGATACACCTGTTGTTCTCTTGTTTGTTTTGATTTAGGTTTGAGGATGGAGTTGTAAATAGAAGATGGATGGTGTGTGAGTCCTTCATTTGTGTTTAGAGAAGGATTCTCTTTCTTAACAAAAATGGCTTCTTTCACTCCCCTCTCAAATCATTTATTTTCTCTGGCTAAGATCTGTACCTCACTGTCTTCAAATGAGTGGCTCGTGGCTTTTAAGTGGAGATGTACAGCAGACTGAGGTCCACTGCTGCTCTCTCGTCTGTGTTGGTACATCCTCTTGTGAAGTAGTGTTTAGTGGTTGTATTAACAGCTCCTTTTACCTTTTGTTCAGTAGAGATCGGCAGTTCCAAGACTAAAATTATGATCCAAATGATTCTAGTGAAGGTGTGATGAGGAAACAACATTAGAACATAGATCAGAATAGTGTGACATGGGCTCTCTGTATTGTTTCCTTTAAGGTGTGTACCCAGTGCTTCCCTCTGTGCTCCGTCTGACAGTTTTGGGATTACTTCGATGGCCATGAGTTTGAGTTGATTGGCTCAAGTAACAGTACACTCTGAAGACCTTGTTTTTTCTGTATTTTTATAACTGACCAGGTTCCTTCTTGCTGTGCAGCTTTACTAATACATTTCCTGCCCTGGTGTTGTACATCTTATCTAATCTCATCTAAACGTGCCTTTTTACTATACTCTGGTAACTTATAAACGTGTCTGTCATTCTATTTGTTTTTTTGTCATGTAGATGTTGAGGAAATCTATGTGTAGTACTGTATTTTTCTGACAATAAGTTGCTCTGGAGTATAAGTCGCTCCAGCCAAAAACTGTCATGAAGAAGGAAAAAAACATACAAGTCACATTGTAAAATATACTAAGGGGTGCTGTCTGTATTAACCCGCTGCATGGTGCCCTTGGAAGGATCAGCCAGATGTCTTGAATAGTGTGCTTTATTGAGTATCCAGTATTAGGAGAAAATGGTGTAAGTGTGTGGTTCTGTGGAAAACAAGGCATAAAAAATTTATATTAATTAACTATACAACTATACATAATAAAACACATAGATATATTAAACAACTCTAAACATAAGTAACAAACATAATATACATTAGTTATGCAGCCATAATAAATTGAGATGCTCTGACTATACTGCACCTTTAAGAGGTACTGTGCCCAGATTCATGCTATACCTTTTTATATGACGCTTGCAAATGAGGCCAAAATGGGCCAAAACACAATAAAGAAAAGTTTATCGCAAACAACAAAACAAAGAGAACCTCTACTTATGTTTATATTACTCACACACTACCAAAGATGAAAATAACCTCTAAGTCGCACCAGAGTATAAGTCACAGGAAACACCTAAACCATGAAAAAAGTGTGAATTATAGTCCGAAAAATACAAATATGACTGTTAATTATGTTTTTTTAATTACATTGTAGATGTTTTTTAGACCATCTCAAATCATTATGTTTGTTATTTGTCTTGTGTTTATTTGAGATCATGTGACCTGTGACCCTTCTGTTTAAAAGCACCTGGCATCATTTCATTGTTGTATGATCTGAAGAAGACCCCCGCAGCCCAAATGTGTAGGCCAGTCCTGTTTTATATTAAAGGACGTTTTAATGCAGTAGGAGTGCCTCAGATTGTTCTTTTAAATGTCTGTAAGTGATGTTTTCCCACTGTGATCGTGATGAGCACCTGACATAAACTTAACTGACCCACTGAGGCACTCACCCTCCTCTCTGAAAAAGATATTTTAGTTTGTTTATTTTGTTTACAGTACAATTTCCATTCATCTTTTTCCACTGAACAAGAAAATCTAATATGCCACAGTACGACATTACATTTGTCTGTTTGGCATTAAGTGTTTTTATCTTAATGCAAAATATCTTTTCTACAGATCTGACCTGTAACTTGGCCTGTCTCCGTGGATATACAGTAGATTAGTGTAATGCCATACTGTGGAACATTCCAGCACAGCTGCTGTGGACTCTGTCTGGTCCAGAGTCCACTCTCTCGTTCTTCCCCCTCATTGTTCTTGTACCTTTGCAGTTATTGACGTCTCTTTGAACGGGTGAAAAGTCAGTGTTTTGGGTCACGTTGCCCGGGCGATGACCCCGTGACCCTGTGCCCTGTTTGGTTTTGGACCTGGATCTGGACAGAGCTCATCGGTGCAGATGTGACACATGTCTTTGTGTTTTGTTTTTGTTTTTTAATAGCCAACAATTTTTCTGACATATTGAATATTGAGATTAGATTAGCTCTGTTTTTGTAAAAATTACATTTTCGGTGCTGAATGATACTCTTAATCATAAGGCTGATCTCAGCATTTCACAAAAAGACGTTTGGTAATTCCAGGTTTGTGGAGCTGTGAGGCGAGGCTAAAGCTAAAGCTAAAGCTAGTGTAAACACACACAGAGAGAGACGGCTTTGTAAGGTAACACTTCCTCATGTGAGATGTTCTGACCCTCGGACGGCCTGGTACAGCTCAGTACGGCTCACTTTTAGAGAGCACAGATGAGCTCCAAAGCAAAGCAGTGGAATCTGTAGTGCCTCCTGACACTGTTGGAGCTGCAGTTTCCGTGTAGAAAAAGCTCTGGTCCAGAACATGAGGTGTGATGCCCCCACAGTCTCCTGTTCAGAGTGGTACCGTGATCACACACTCACACTCACATGCAGATGTTTCAGATGTTTCTGGTCTGATCTCTGGTTCTTTTTGGACGAGTCTGAGCTGTGGCTCTTCCTGTAGTAAACTCCACATGTGCAGAGTCCAGATCCTGCAGAGACACAGACAGGGCCAAAATACTGCGAGTCCTCACAGGCTTCGTATCACCACCTCCCCACGTGAACACGTGGAGTTCTAAAGTCTATCTAGTGTTTTCCTCTGGACTTGTTGAAGGGTCGACTCAGGTCAGCACTGCATCAAAAACAGACTTAACCCACCGCTCCCCACTGTCTGTGTACACTGGTGTGTGAATGGGTGTGTGTGTGTGTCTGTGTGTGTGAATGGGTGTGTGGTTCCTTGTTGTAAAGTGCTTTGAGTCTTGAAGGTGGAAAACACTACATAAAAATGTGACCATTTACCATAAAAAAATCTACTAAAAACAAATCATAATCTTGTTTACAGTGTGGTTGCTTATCAACATTTAGCCTATGAAATCTGTTTATCTTCTGTCCGTGCCCCACCAGCAAGTCTGATTATAAACTTCACCAAATTAGGAAAGACTAGACCTGAGTTTATTTCTGATTCCAGCATCTGAAATACAACATCCAATTTGTTTGGATTTAATAAACGAACAAAACAAAAAAAACATGATCTGAGTTTGACCTTTGACCTCTGTGGTTAAACTAGTTTATTATGTCTCTGAGAAAAAGGCTTCATCATTTTATGAGCCAATAGAAAAATCTCATGAGTCATGAGTGTTATTGTGCTGTTGTACTGGTGATGTCATCGTTTTACATTGACATCATTTATTTGACTTCATGACCAGAGTAACGACACTCAACCCTGTGACATATATACACATCATTTTATAAAGATTAAAGGTGCACTATGTAACTTTTCTGATGGAGGGTTCCTTACATGCGTGTTTCCATGGAGATTTTATTGCCTTGCTGTGAATGTTCCACAGTGTGTCTTTAAGCTTATCTATCTCCATGAGGACAGGCGGGTCCGGAGTCCGCTCACAGTCAGACTGCACGTCTTAAGTTAATCCTGGGCAATAGTTAAACCTGTAATTGAATAACTGCAAGATAGAAAACTTTAATGCCACACTGAGGAATATTCCAGGTAAAGCAGTGTCATCTCCATGGTAGCGGAAACCAGAAAAGTAGCACAGTGCATTTTAACAAAATCTAATATTGAAAACCTCATGAGGAGAGATGATGAGGGCTCGTGCACGTGCTCCATCTGAGCTGCATTTTCCATTAAAATTCATTTGTTTGTCAAAAGCTTCAAGTTCAGGGAAAAAAGGGACAGCAGCTGTTTCAATAACTCCTGGTTTTTAATGACCCTCTGCTCCATCTGACCCCCTCCTCTGCATCTTCTGCTCCTCTGACCCTCTCCTCTGCTCCTCTGACCCTCTCCTCTGCTCCTCTGACCCTCTCCTCTGCTCCTCTGACTCCTCTGACCCTCTCCTCTGCTCCTCTGACCCTCTCCTCTGCACCTCCTCTCCTCTCCTCTGCTCCTCTGACCCTCTTCTCTACATCTTCATCTTCTAAAGCAGATCTTAACATTACCCTTTCCTCTCTTTGCAGACTTCTCCTCCGTGGGAGCAGGCAGCGTCCCCTCCTCTTCACCCTCCTTGGATGCTGCGCAGTGGGGACAGCTGCATCATGTCGTCCCCCTCTGCTCCGGAGCCCCAGCCTCTGCTCCAGTTGCAGGAGGCCGACTCCAGTAAAGCACACCAGGATCGGACTCTCTCCCCTGGGCACGGCGCTCCGGTCTACAACCCCTCCTCCGGACTGGACCACGCGGTTTGTATCCCGGCTCCCTACACCGACAGCTCCCAGGACTACCCCCCCACGCCGCTCTCCTTCTACAGCCCCTCTGTGCTCAGCTACCCCCGGCCCGCGCTCGCTGACGCCCCCTTCTGGTCGCCCCACGGACACGGCAACGTCCCCGCTCTGGCTCTGCACTGCCCTCCCCCCCTCCTCTACAACGAGCCCACCCCCCACCACGCCTGGATCGAAGCCAAACCGCAGTTTCCCAGCAGCAGGTGGGTGGCGCTGTTTTCAATAAAGGTCATATATTACTCCAGAGTGACTCTTGTGAGGTTTAAGTCATGTTATAATGTTTTTACCTGCTCAAAAACAGACCTGGAGTTGTGTTTGTTTCATTCACACATTTGAGTAACACTTTATTATTACCGTATTTTCTGCACTATTAGGGGCTCTGGATTATAAGGCGCACTGTCATTAAATGGTCTATTTTCGACCTTTTTTCACAAATAAACCGCACTGGACTTTAAAGGAAACCCAACAGTGTGATGGGTGAGTGGTTTTGTTTGTTCGTTCACAGTGACTCTGGGCTTTGTTCAGTTGTGGCGTGTAGGGAGGGTGTGTCTGGGACCAACGGATTGTCGGCGTGTTTGCAGTGACTCAGTTGTTCAGTTGTGTCTAGAAGTGGCACATTGCACTCACTTTTTCGGTTCGTTCCTCCGTTCCGTACCTCGTCGGCGTGGAGTGATGAGTGTGTCTGTGGGTGTGTTTGGCTGTGCGGTCGCTGTCTGCTCAGTGTGTGTTTGTGTGTTCTGCGGGTGGTGCGGCTTTGTAGTTTACTGAAGTCGTACTGGGACACCTGAGTGGATTCGTGTATGGGGCGCTCTGGATTGTGGGGCACGCGGTCATTTGTTGATGGGGTTGGAGGTCTAATAGCCAGGAAAATACGGTTGTCTGTCTACATCTCTAAAGCTCAAACTGCTCTGTTCCACCTTGTGATGTCATGGTTAGGAGTTAAGGCTGTGCAATTAATTTAATTTTGATCACGATTTCAATTTGTGTGTCAGACTACCTCCAAACTCATATAATCAAGTTGAAACGATTAAAGGTGTGCTCACACTAGGACTTCAGAACTGTGCCCAAGCAGGGATCACCCCTAAAGCTTTGGTACATTTGTTTAGTGTGACCGCGATCAAACCGTGTCCAGGCTCGGCACAGTTGGGACTTTGGTCTGGTTGGACGAGGTGAGCCAAAGCATGGCATGTTTGCTCATTATGAAATATCTATTTATTAGATATTTCTGTCTCTGGATTTAATTTCTCCGCTAAAGAGTTTGCTCTGCTGTGCACAGGTAAACAAACAGCACCGTGTGATGACGTCATCGGCTGTGGCCTGGATCGGTTGTGTAGGTGTGAGTGTGAGAAACATATTTGTAGCCTATATTTATTTTCAATTTGAAAGTTTTGTGTAAATTATCAATAACAAAGTGTTTTGTATTTTTGTTTTTGTTTTTGAAAGAGAGAAATGATGAATAAATGCATCATGCTACTTAAAAATAATCGTCTGAATAATCGTGATTTGAATATTGACCAAAATCGAGCAACCCTACTAGGAGTGTACAAAAATATCTAAATATTGATATATTGTATCGTTGAATGTGTTGATACAGTATTGATATCTTGCGCTGCTGTATCGATATATCATATTTTTTCGTATATTTTACTAAATTATTTAGTTACAGCTACAGTTTTGTTGTTTTGTTTGTTCAGAGGAAGGAAACTGTGTGACACATTTGACATTTTCACTGTTTTGATGAGTAAAATGAGTGGGGGTGTTTCATATGAACTTTGCACAAGAAGCAATTTAACAAAGACTTTTAGTATCACAGACATGATTTAACCTTTTATTTTTACTGAACCGTATTGAATCGATTTGAAATATTTTGTAACGAATCAAAAGCTCACTGTATGAAGTTATGTATCATATCGTGGCCTGTGTATTGAGGTGTGTATCATATCACCGACCTCTTAATCATACCCAATCCTCGTGACGGCAGCAGTTTTCAAGTGAACAGTTTTTATCTTGGTACGTAGTGATATGGTTTTACAAGTACGTTCCATACTCATCCAATCCACTTTATTTCTATAGCACATTTTATAAACATGACAGTTTCCAAAGTGCTGCACAGAGAATTTAATACAATAAAAGGCAGTAAATCATAATGACCGTATTTTCTACACTATAGGGTGCACTCATAAGCCTCCAACCCCATCAAAATACGACTGCACGCACCACAATCCACAGCGCCCTATGCATGAATCCACTCGGGTGTCCCAGCACGACTTCAGTAAATGTGAACAAATGTGTCAAAGCTGCATTAAACACATTATTACTCAATGTATATTTGAGTCGTTCTCATAGGAAATAAAAAAAAAAAAAAACTTAAAAGATCGACTCCAACATTCACGTTCATAATCCACATTCACCAAGACACGGAGGCAACCCCGGGTGAGTTATGCCACGATCTGCCGATGGATCATGGACGCCTGGGCTAAGGACCAGTCTCAAGTGTCGTCCTTTTGTTCTATTTAATGCGCTTTATAATTCGGTGCACATTTAGCCTGAAAAAATACAGTATTCAGGAAAGCTTCATTTCTGTTCTGTGAATGGGATTTTTCAGTATTGATACCATCTCGAATGAATATCTAGTTTTGATATTAGTTTTTCTGATTTTTAATACTTTTTTGATGCATTTGTTCCAAAATGAGTCTACGACGCTGCTGAATCCTACATGTAGCACAGATTAAGAACGTAAAAGACTGTATTTTCCGGACTATAAGATGCGCCTCCAACCCCATCAAAAAACGGCCACGCGTCCCACAATCCAGAGCACCCTATACATGAATCCACTCAGGTGTCCCAGCATGACTTCAGTAAACTACAAAGCCGCACCACCCACAGAACACACAAACACACACGGAGCAGACAGCGACCGCACAGAGAAACACACCCACAGACACACTCATCACTCCACGCCGACGAGGAACGGAACGGAGGAACGAACCGAAAAAGTGAGTGCAATGTGCCACTTCTAGACACAACTGAACAACTGAGTCACTGCGAACACGCCGACAATCCGTTGGTCCCAGACACACCCTCCCTACACGCCACAACTGAACAAAGCCCAGAGTCACCGTGAACAAACAAACAAACAAAACCACTCACCCATCACGCTGTTGGGTTTCCTTTAAAGTCCAGTACGGTTTATTTGTGAAAAAAGTTCAAAAATAGACCATTTAATGACAGTGCGGCTTATAATCCAGAGCACCTAATAGTGCGGAAAATACGGTAAAAACAATAATTAAAAAGTGTTAAAATGCATAAAGCTAAAATGATAAAACAATGAATAAAATAAAATACATAAATAAAACAAATACAAGACACACAATAGTACACAACTCATGCGGTGTTAAAAGCCAGAGAATAAAAGTGGGCCTTAAAGATTGTATAGAGGATTTTTTCAGGGAAGAAAAACACAGCGACAGTCCTTTGTCAAATGTTGTGCTTGTGTGACACAACCTTCCTCCTCCACAGCTCCATCAGTAGAAACACCTCCTCCCGCCTCTTTACTCTAGAAATCACGCTTGTTTACATCCAATGTGCGTTCAGAATTACTGTTGAAGTGACCTGTCTAGAAGTAATTTAGTGACCGACACGTCAGTTTTTAGACCCTTCGTCTGCTTCATTCGCGCCATCGCTGGAAGGACTCTCCAAGAATCACCTCAGTTTGTCTTCGCTCCTTTTCTCCTTCTTTTCTTCTTTCAGCGACCTCAAAAACGGACTTTCTTTTGCGGCGAACTGGTCGTGGATTCTCGTCCGCCATCGCAACAAACTTTGTGCGAATTGCGAGGAAGCGACAGTTTGAAAAAGCCTCTAAGAACCGCTGCAAAAACCACATAATCCCCGAGCGCCGGCGAGTCAGTTACACTAGAAACATAGGGAGTTTGATTGACAACATAACAGCCAATAGATAAAGAGATAGTCTCATTATCTATTGGCTGATGTTTGTCTGGACTCACTACGATCACAGTTGATAGATTTTCATTCTTTTTTTTTTTTTTGGTCATCATAATTACAAGGCTACTGTGTTTCTGTAATGGTTTCTGTAACTTTCAATGACAATTTGAACCTAAAAAAAATCCTCCATACAACCTTTAAGATGACATAAGTTAAAGTTAAAAGTTAAAACATTCCACTGTCACAACTTCATGGAACTTACTTTTCTTTTTTTTTTTTTTTATTAACAAAATTGCTGTAACGCTTTTACCTTCCTTAAAAGAGAATGACTTTTTCTCCCATACACCCTAAAACTAAAATGTTTGAGAATATTTCCAACATCCTTATTGTCCTCATTCACTTTTCTTTATTTTAGTCCTATAGTTTTATGACTGTAGTACCACCAGTCCAAGTTCCGGGTCAGATCTGTGGAGAGGCGAGTACGATTTTCCACTATGAAAAGCAGACACTTATTCCGCTCAGACTTCGAGAGGCTTTGTCATTTTCTTAGACACGTCTTTACCTGAGTCATTATCACGTCCAGAGTCTGACACAGGACTGTTTACTCTCTCTTTCTCTCCTTCCCCCCCTCCTCTCTTTGTCTCTTTGTCTCTCTCTCTCTTAACTTTCTGTCTAATCTTTTTCTCTCTTCTTTCACTCTCTCGCTCTTCATCTCTCTCATTTCTTTGTGTTTCTCCTTCTCTTCGGTTACTCTCACCTTATCTCTCTCTTCTTCTTTGTCTCACTGCACCTCTCTCTTATCTCTTCTTTTCTCCCCTCTGTCCCTTTCTCTCTTATCTCTCTCTTCCTCTCTCTCTTTCTTCCTGTCAGCTGGAATATCTCACACTCCTGTAACTGTCTTCACTCCCTCCTCTCTCTCTTTTTCTCTTCTCCCGTCAGCTGTAATACCTCACACTCCTTTACTTGTCTTCTATCTCTCTGTCTCTCTCTCTCTTTCTCCCTCTCTTTCTGACTTGTGCGATGTCACTCTGTCCCCATGACGCTCCTCTTTACTCAGACAAAAATGGAAAAAATGTCAATAATGCATTTATTTTTCACTCTCGATATCAACATTCAGATCATCATTTACACTTCATCATAAAAATGCTAAAATGTGTGTGGAAATGTCTTACTTGAGTTTCACACAAATGTGAATGAACTAAAATTGTTTGGAGAATTTCACTGAAACTCAACTTTATCAGCTCTTTATCTCACTCTTTTATGTTTTTTTTTCTGAATTATTTAAACGATAAACTTGAGCTTTTGAAAAGTGGTCTGCTTTGCTATTGATGTTTGAAATGATCATGATTTCAGTTTTGTTATAAATTGCTCTATTTTGCTATAATTGAGCAGCCTTGGGTTAAACTTTTCTATATTAGTGATGTTTTTCTGATGTTCCAGTGCTCTCCTGGGCTGTGGGTCAAAGGTCACGACCCTGAAGCATGTGGAGGAGGAGGGGCCAGAGGGGGTCAGCTCATGCTCCGCCCCCTTACGCTCGGACATGCACTTCTGCGCCGTGTGTCACGACTACGCCTCCGGATACCACTACGGCGTCTGGTCCTGTGAGGGCTGCAAGGCCTTCTTCAAGAGGAGCATACAAGGTACAACAAGAACTGGACCTGGACTAAGACCAAGACTTAGACCAAGACTAAGACGAGGTCTTCTTCAAGAGGAGTAGAGACAGTACTAGGACCTGACCAGTACATTAGTTGATCGATATTATTGGCCGATATGGACACTTGGAGACATATCAGCTATCAGCCTAAATCTTGCCAATATGGGCAGATAGTCCTATTATGTGGTGCTTTGTCAGTATTTACCAGAGGAGTAATCTGACTGTGTGTATAATGCAGTAATGCCCCTGAATGCACCCCCACGTGAGTCATGTGACTCCCAATGTCACGTGAGTCATGTGACTGACGTGTTGTTGTTTACACCAGGACACAACACTGAGGTGCTGCTTTAACTCCTCTTGTGTCTGATCCATGATACTGACTAAAAGTAAAAGTGAACTTCAGCACACTGAAGGACCGTCCCCACAGACAGATGACCGTCCCCACAGACAGATGACCGTCCCCACAGACAGATGACCGTCCCCAGACAGATGACCGTCCCCGCAGACAGATGACCGTCCCCAGACAGACAGACAGAGGACCGTCCCACAGACAGATGACCGTCCCCGCAGACAGAGGACCGTCCCACAGACAGAGGACCGTCCCCGCAGACAGAGGACCGTCCCACAGACAGACCAGACAGGACCGTCCCACAGACAGAGGACCAGACAGAGGACCGTCCCCGACAGACAGACAGGACCGTCCCCAGACAGAGGACCGTCCCGACAGACAGGACCGTCCCCGACAGACAGATCCCCGAGACAGACCGTCCCACAGACCGTCCCACAGACAGACAGAGACCGTCCCAGACAGACAGAGGACCGTCCCCGCAGACAGAGGACCGTCCCCACAGACAGAGGACCGTCCCCAGAGACAGAGGACCGTCCCCACAGACAGATGTGATGTGAGAGGTGTTTGTGTGAGTGGAGAGTGTTACAAATGTGTTGGTTTTGAAGGTACTTTTGGTTCTTTCTTTTGGCCACACACAAACAGCCTGTTTTCTCTTACACTGGCCCACTGTAAAGTGACTATAGTGGCTGTATGAGCTGTGAATAAAGGTGTGGTGCATTTACACATATAATCAATTACCACGGTGCACATGCAAAAATGCCATTAGGCCGACCTACTGTCTTTAAATATGACTGTAAATAGGCAGAATAACAGTAAATGTCGCCTAAACAAACGCAACTTAAAATCTAATGGAGATCTAAGTTTTATCACCAGTTGAAGATTCAAAGTGAATTTTAACATCACTACAAATATCGACTTTTATATCGACGATCGGCAGCTCCAAAGCCTGTATCAATATCATATCGGATCAAAAAAATCCATCTTGGTAGGGCCCTACAAGGTACACACAAGAACTGGACTTAGACTAAGACCTGGACTAAGACCAAGACTTAGACAAGGCCTTCCTCACGAGGAGTATACAGAGTATAAACTGGACTTAGACTTAGACCGGCTCGAAACTCTTGTACCTTGTATAACAACTACAGTGTATTAAAGAATTTGTGTAAATGAAATGTAAATCTGGTACTGGCATCTTTGTGCTTGAGCATTAAACCAGTATCATTAAACCATCAGTACCATTACATTAGTATCATTTCTATGCTATCTTTGTTCCACATTAGAAAAGTTTCATATATTTGCATCTTTAAATAATCTGAATTGGACTGTTCCAGGTCACAACGACTACATCTGCCCAGCCACAAACCAGTGCACCATCGACAAGAACCGGAGGAAGAGCTGTCAGGCCTGCAGGCTGCGAAAGTGCTACGAGGTCGGGATGATGAAGTGTGGTGAGTGTGAGCAGAGTTGTGGTAAACACAGGAGAACATCTCTGTGGACGTGTTCTGGAGCTGTTCTCTTTCCTGCAGGTGTGAGGAGGGAGCGCTGCAGTTACAGAGGCTCTCGTCATCGCCGTGGTAACCTGACGGGGGGGCGGGGCCTGGTGCGGGTGGGCCTCACCTGTCGGAGTCAGAGACAGTTACACCTGGAGCCCCCCCTCGCCCCTGTCACCCCCCTCCCCCAGGTAATAACCCCTGTACGACATTCAACCTGTCTTATGACTTCATTATAGCTGTTTTTTTTTACAATGGATAATCTGTATTCTACTGTAAACAGGCCCACAGAGACAGATAAGTTTAATATCATACTGTGAAAAATGCCAGGCAAAGCAACAGCATCTCCATGGTGATGCATCGTCCACCTGTAAAATTACACAGTTCACCTTTAAAGTTCATATCTTGATTTAGGGACAAAATAACTAAATAAAAACCCCAGGATCATGCAGGGCAGGTTATTTCAAGACCAAAATGACGAGTCTGAGTAGGGTTATTGTGGTTAGGGAATTTCTCCTGCGGTGTGTATAGTAGCTCAACAGAGCCGTATGCAGTGATATCACACCCCCTCCCCCACCCCACACCCCCCAGAGTTATAATATTTCCAGTGGCTCTGAAAACTCTCTCTGATGATGTGCTTGTTGCACAGATGCACATGTACCTTGGTTGTCGTGCGGATATAGTGTATGTAGCGTGGCTTTGGAACAAGTGCTGCTGCATCTCTCTAGCTCTCACTGTGGCACCTCGGGTCAGAGTCCTGGACCGGCTCGAGCACCTACGGACTTAAGAGAGAGAGAGAGAGCCCCGAGCATGCGGAGCACTTGTCCGCAATGCGCAATCGGGCGACGGGTGCACTTACTCCATGCGGCGTGGAGCTCTGCACTGGTCCTTTCTCCTGTGGTCACCAGACGGTCTATGCGGGCGCACCTTAGTCCTGGGTTCGTCCTGGGTTCGTCCTGGGTTATCACGGGTTATCACGGGCATGGGCAGTTAATGGGTAGAATGTTAAATGATCCGGGCGTGTGTGGGTCTCTAAAAGTGGACCCGTGCAGGACTCTGGGTTGGGTCACGTGATCACATGCAGTGATCACAGTGGCCCTTTTAGTACCGCAATGATTCAGTTTTGCAGTTATTGCGACAGCCCTAAGTCTGAGAGCAGCAGTTACAGAGACAGAGGCAACAGGCTCAAGTGTTTTACAGTATGTCTACGTAAACAGAATCTGCAGTGTTGGGAGTAACATGTTACAAAAGCAACAAATTACTGTAATGCATTGTTTTTTCCTCTAATGCAGTAAAGTAAGGCATTACAGAAAAAAAAAAGGTAATATTTTACTTGGTACAAATGTCAGTAACGCACGTTTCAATGCAATTGTAACCTGAATTGAAGTGGTGGGTTTTTGTTTTTCTTTATACAAATTCACTAAAACCACCATGAGATCTGCAGATACATAACGTCATTGTGAATCATGTCAAAATGTCTTATTTAAGGCCTATACACTATACAGGAGAATTTGCCTGATTTTGCTTCTCCCCGAGTTCCAGGAGGTGTGACCTGACTTTGTGTCTTTGTTTGCAATTTTGAAGCTCCTGCGCTTGTGTGTGTGTGTGTGTGTGCGCATGTGTGTGCAACAGCCAATAAAACAGACCATCAGAGACAGAGGAGTGACACAGAGATGCAACATACAAACACAGGAAACAGCAAAAATAATTTTTCCTCACCTCTCGTAAAGTAGTAAATATGAACTGCAGCATCTCATCCACATTATCCACAGAAACTGTCCTCTGCAAATAATGACATCCAGTCCTCAAAACAGTGCTGTGAATCCAGTTTGAGTCGTTCTTTAAAAGTAAAAAGGTGAGAGTAGTTCCTCACGTGTGTCTGTTTACATCCACACAGAGCACAGGTCGAGCTGAAGCTGCACATTGTGTGAGGAGCTAACTGAGCCACATTTAGATCGCCAACTCCATAGTTCTACTTATTTTGCTGAGAGTAACTTAAAAGTAATGCATATAGTAGAGTAATGCCTAACCTGTAATGTAACAAATTACTTTGAAATGACAGTAACGAGTAAGAAATAACACATTACAGTTTTGAAGTATCTTGCTCAACACTGGGAATCACAGGAGCATCCCTAACACATTTACACGATGTTCTTGTCTAATCTGTGCTCCTCTTCTGTCCCTCAGTCGTCCCACAGCCACAGCAGCGCCCCCCACAGCCCACACCTCACACTCACACCTGAGCAGTTCATCTCCAGGATCATGGAAGCAGAGCCTCCTCAGATCTACCTGATGGAGGAGCTGAAGAAGCCCTTCACTGAGAGCAGCATGATGATGTCCCTCACCAACCTGGCAGATAAAGAGCTGGTGCTCATGATCAGCTGGGCCAAGAAGATCCCAGGTAAACTCCGCCCACATGAACACGAGCACTGGAACGGCACAGGTCAGAGGTCACTGCAGGAACCTCTCTCTCCTTCTTTATGTTCTATCTCTTTTCCGCTCTTTGTTCTTCTCTGTAGTGCATGTTCCTCCCTTTTTCTCCCTCTCTCCGCTCTCTCTCTCTCTTCATCTTTCTCTCCCTGTTCTTCCCTTCCACCTTGTCTCTTCTCTCCCTCTCTCCTCTCCCTCTTACGATTTCATCTCTTGTTCTCTCCAGTGCAGCCCTCAGCATCACTCCTTCTCTCTCTCCTCTTAGGCCTCAGCAGGTACTTCCTCTCTCTTTCTCTCTCTCTTTCTCTCTCTCTCTTTCAATCCGCTCCAACCTCCCCCATCTCTCTTTTCGCTCTCCATTCCTCTCTTTCTCCCCCCTTCTCTTTTCATCTCTCTCCCTTTCTCTTTCTCCTCTCACTTTCTCTCCACCCCCTCTAATCACTCTCATTCTCTCCCCCCTTTCCTCTTGTCCTCCCCTCCTCCCTCCCTTCCTCTCTCGCTCTCTCTCTCTCTCTCCCTCTCTCCTCTCCTCCTCTCCCTCCTTTTTTCTCTCTCTCTCTTACCCTCTTTCCCCTTCTTTCTCCATCTCTCTCTCTCCTCTTGTCCTTTCCTTCCCTCTCTCCCTCTCTCTCTCTTCTCCCCTCCTTTTTTTCTCTCTCTTTCGCCCTCTTTCCTCCTCTATCGCCATCTCTCTCTCTCTTCTTGTCCTTTCCTCCCCTTACTCCCTTTCTTTCTTTGTCTCCTCTTAGTCCTCTCCTATTCTCCATCACTCCCTCACTCTCTCCTCTTGTCTTCTCTCCTTCCCTCTCTCTCTCTCTTCTTGTCCTCTTTCCCTCCCTCTCCCTGTCCCTCTCTCCCTCTCTCCTCTCTGTCTCTCCTCCTCTCCTCTCCTCTCTCTCCTCTCCTCTCTCTCCCTCTCCTCTCCCTCTCTCCGTCTCTCTGTCTCTCTCTCTCTCTCTCTCTCCGTCTCTCCCTCTCCTCTCCCTCTCTCTGTCTCTCTCTCTCTCTCTCTCCTCTCTCTCTCTCTCCGTCTCTCTCTCTCCGTCTCTCTCGTCTCGTCCTCAGCGGGTGCCTTCTTCTCAGGTGTTAATGTGACGACCACAAAAGCTGCTGTTTTTCTGCACAAAGACGTTTTCCATTCGTCTTTTTTCTCCCTCGTTCTTTTGTGTTTCTTGTAAAGGCTCAGAGGTGCTGAGGAGGAGCTGACAGGCCTGAGCAAGTTCACTCCCGCTTAAAAACTCCACCACGACCCGCAAAAAACATCACATTTTCAGTTTTAAAGAGGAGTATTTCACTTTTATGAGGGATTAACTGTAACACGTCACTTATTTACACCATCTTTCCCTTTATTGATTTGAAATGCTCTGTTCATTGAAAATACTAGCATGTTTAATTGGTTTCGGTTTCATTGTGGACGCTCTGAGTCTCCCTTCCCTTTGCTTACTGCACTAAGTCACCCCCCCTTCAGAACGCTATCACAAACAGCAAGAGAACTCCTGCATGTTCCCATCAGGTCTGTGGGCTGAGTCTTTTGTCAGATGCACTGCTGACCGTGAGGAGGTTTCCATGGAGACCAGCAGGTGTCAGACCCAAAAAAGTTCACATCATTTTTTAGCTTGAAACCTGAAATGTAAACTTCAAACTAGTGTTGTAGTCAAGACCATATTAATGGAGACCAAGACCAGCCCCAGACCACAGGGTCCAGAGACCAAGACCAGCCCCAGACCACAGGGTCCAGAGACCAAGACCAGCCCCAGACCACAGGGTCCAGAGACCAAGACCAGCCCCAGACCACGGCCCATCTAGACCAAATCGAGACTATCTTTGTTATTCTAAACATTTATTTATCAGTGTTTTTATAAATCTATCTCCAGTTGTGCTGACTGATGTTCATTTAGGCTTAAATAAGCCAAGCAAATTGTACTGTGCTTAAACACTCTGTGCCCCTTTTTTGGACCCTCACCCACAGTTTGAGAAACCTTCTTTTAGCCAACTTCCACTGGCACTTTGCAGAAAACTGAAGAAAGTGAGTAGGATTTTATTTTTAAACCTGTCTTTTCAAGTTCCTAACTGAAGTGACATTCATGTGAGACCTTGAGTTTGAGACAAGATCGAATCCCAGCACCTTCAAGACTGAGTCCAAATGAGCTCAAGTCTAAGATGAGACCAAGACCGTAAAAAAAACGATCTCGAGGCCAAGACCAGTCTCGAGTACTACGACACTACTAATTCAAGAATTCCATGGATTTCAGATTCTGTTTGTAGAGGTCTAAATTAGAGCATGGAAACCTGACCGAAGTCCGACAGGACCCGGACACATATTTAGAATTTATGTTTGGGCTCGGGTCGGACTCTGACACATCAGCATATCAGCTGTGTCTACAGTAAACCAGTCGCTCTGAGAATCTTAAATGTTCAAAAGATCAGAGCTCTGCACTTCTAGTTTAGATACAAGTCATGTTATTATTTGTGAAATGTTGTGCAAAACTTCAGATACGTGATTTTTAAAGCATAAGGATTGTAGATAAAGTCCACAGGAAGTAGAGACACTATCATGAATCTGCAACTCCACCTCGATCCGTGTGCTGTGTGGATGTAAACAGACACATGACAAACTACTCTCACCTTTTTACTTTTAAAGAACTCTTCAAACCGGATTCACAGCGCAGTTTTCTGGACTGGGCTCATTATTTTTGGAGGACAATTTCTGTGGATAATGTGGATGAGATGCTGCACTTTAAATTTACAACTTTATGAGAGATGAGGAATAAAGTCTTCTCATTATTTCTGATATATCCCAAGATTGTATTTTGAGTCTCTGTGTCTGTTAGAGACAAACAATATCCTCTGTAATTGTGTCGGGTTTGGTCGGGTTCAGACACAAATATCTTAGTGCTTATCGGGCTGAGGTTGGATTCGATCACTTCTCTGTTGGACGTGAGCTGCACTGTGACAGAAAAATTCGTCCTGATCCACTAGTCTAAACTACAGGGTTCGCAGCTTTTACTCAGAATAAGACCCCATGAAGACCTTTAGTTCTCAAAGAGGACATTATATTCACTAAATGGTCTTTGTGTCCATTCACATATGCACCATGAACCAGTGCAGTGACAGGCTGTTCTTATCCACCACTGTAATACTTCTCTTTTTAACTCGACTGATGCCTTTGTCCACCTCTTTAAAATAATAATTACTTTAATACTGTACAATTTGACTTCCTGTAATGTTTTGTTGCCGTTTGAACCATTGAGTTTCAAGTATGTCTTTAAGCCCTCCATTCAGACCTTTCATACCAAATCCATTGTAACGGCCCATTCAGCTCTCCCAGGAAAGAAAGAGTGAATGAATGAAAGTAAAAGGGCGGGTCTTCAACTGTGCCTCTGTTGGTAATAAAAGAGAATTGGGTGAAAACTGTCAAACGGATTGAGATTACTGGTTCTGGTTTGGTTTAAAGCTTAGAGAGGCATTCAGCTGCACTTGGTAGGAAACAGCCAGACTAATGTTACAAACCACCCGGGGTGGGAGGTAGGGCCTCGACTTTGAGCTACAGTCGTCTCTCGCTATGTCGCGGTTCACCTTTTGTTGTCTCGCCGTTTTGCAGATTTTTTTTTTCTTTTTCTTTTTTTTTTTTTTTGTGTTGATTTTGCATGTTTGTTTGTTTGTTTTTTTTACACACGGATGGGTTAGGACTAAACCAGGTCTAAACCAGGACTAATCTTGGATTTAAGAGAGAGAACGCCAAGCAGTTTGTCTGGAAAGCGCGATGGGGCGATTGCTGCGTTTAACTCCGTGAGGTGTGGAGCTCTCCATGGGTCCTTTCTCCTGCGGTCACCTCCGAGCCCGTCCCGACAGTGAGTCCTGTTTCAGTTCTGGTTTTGTCCTGGTTTAGTCCTCCTCTTCAGTCCTGGAATCAGTCCTAGGTTAGTCCTGGGTTAGTCCTGGTTACCTCCGCCAAGGAGGTTTTTGCCGGCGTTTGTCTGTTTGTTTGTTTGTTTGTTTGTCTGTTAGCAACATAACTCAAAAAGTTATGGACCGATTTTGATGATGAAATTTTCAGGATTTGTTGGAAATGTGAAAAGGAAGAACTGATTTCATTTTGGGGGTGATCCGGAAAGAAATCCTGGATTCTGGATCACTTTGAAATTTTAGTTAACATTGTGGTAAATGGGGCCAAAAATTTTGTTTCTCAATATCTCGGTTAATTATTGACCAAACCCCATGAAATTTGACTCAGGGATGGACAATGGGATCCTCTTTCATATTCCAAAAGCTGATCCGGATCTGATCCAGAAGACTGATTTTATCGCAATTTATATAAAAAATGGGGGTCGTCCTTGGCGGAGGTCTGTGCTGTCTGACTGCTTTTCTAGTTTAGTCTTGGTTCAATCCGTGGTGTAGGCAGTGCAAAAGTTTGATATCATCTCGAGTTAATGGGCGGGTGTGGTGCTGTACTGCAGGTCTCCAAAAATGGACACGTGCAGGACTCTGCGCTGTAGTCTTCATTACGGAATAAATGAATCTTGGATTTGTTACATAAAGAAGGAGGAAAATAACAAAAGGACGACAGCAGAAATAAGTTTTAAGAAGGATGTAAAAAGGGTTGTACCTCTCCTGACTGATAAAAGTGTAGAAAGTTTGTGCTGAGGGGTTTTACAGACATAAAACAGATGTAATCATTGTAAAATCTAAAGTTGACTACTTCACGGATTTCACCTATAGCGGGTTATTTTTAGAACGTAACCCCCACGATAAACGAGGGACACTGTACTCTCACTTCGCAACCTGTGCACATGTCCTCCCACTTGTCCTGACCACGACGGACAACAAGTCATTGTTAAATACACATTTGTGCTTCGGCATGTTACAGACTGACCGACTGTTTGTGTCTCGCTCCTTCTGAGTCACTGACGCTACATGAGACGCTCAATTTAATGCCCCCAGTGAACGGTAATGAAAACCCGGACATTTGCTTCACTTAAAAAAAAAACAAAAACGAATGCCCAAGACAGGACGCAAAATACGAACATGTCCGGGGAAAACCAGACGTTTGGTCACCCTATCGGCTATGACATCATGTCCACACTTGTGTTTTATTATGTTTCGCATAAACGGTATGAATGGACATAGCTAACACACTAGCCGCCCCGTTCTGGTTTTCTTGTGTTTGAAAAACGTGGATGCCAACCGGAAAGCTCTTATTCTAATCCCAATCCAATCCACTTTATTTCTATAGCACATTTCACACGCAAACCAAAATGCTGCATAAATACATAATAATAACAGCAATAATAAAATGATAAAATAAATGCTCAGATTTAATCATATTAGTCTTAAAATAATAAAACCAGTAAAATAAAATAAGAGCAAAATCATAGAATAGCAATAAATAAATAAAGCCAATAAAATATATAAAAAATAATTAAAAGACACAGAGGAGCACATAACTTACACGGTGTTAAAAGCCAGAGAATAAAAGTGGGTCTTAAGATGAGATTTAAAACACTCCACTGTGGGGCTGTTGGAACGTGGAGGGGCAGAGTGTTCCAGAGTTTAGGGCCGACTGCTCATCTTAGGCACCAAGAGCTGGAGCTGGACCTCAGACCTCAGAGTGTGCACAGGGTTACTGTTGTTTATCTTCTGTTATTGACTCTAGGGAGGTTTAGCAACACTCGTTTAAAACAAGTCTTTGTTCAATATTGGCCTCATCGCAACCACCGTGACACCGACCACCGCGACCCCGACCACCGCAACACCGACCACCACACCCAGAGGCAGTGATCTGGATGTAGTAAAGTACTGCAGTGATACTAGTGGCTGAAATTGTCATTTAAACCACCGAAGTGTTGAATTCTGTCTCGGAATCCTTGCTCGGGCTCCTGTGAACTCTTCAGAGTTCTGAGTTGCACCGTCCGAGGAAAAGGGGCGTGTCAGTGTGTATCACTAGGCAATGTCCTTGGACCTCCGAGTTAGATGGATAATTGAACGCACCATCAGGATTAGCTGGTGTTGTTTCATTGTTTTGGTCTTCTTTGTTAAAAGGGAGCAGGACATTAACAAGCTCAGTGTTTCCCAAGCTTCAGACGGTTTTAAAATAATGTGAAATTGTAGTTGAGGTTTTTGGTAAATGGTGTTCATCTCCATGGAGATCTTATTGCGTTGGCTGGAATGTCCCACATTATGGCTCGTCTTCCATGGATGAGCAGGTGATGCCACCAAACCAAGTTACAGGTCAGATCCACCGAGAGGCGACCCCACGCACAGTAAAAAAATTGTTTTTCAAGGTATTTTTCAGCAATAAAAACTATAATTGAATAAAGGCAAGAAAAATACAGAAAGTTTAATGTCATGCTTTGGAACTTGCAGGTTAAGCAATAACATCTCCATGGAGACAAGCAAATGGTGGACTCTTAACCAGAGAAGTTACACAGTGCAGCTTCAAGAAGGTTCTGGAGTATGTTAGCAGTTTTTATTTGATTTTATCTGTAATGTTAGATTACTAGACACTCCTGAACATCTCTTCACTCCTTCCTTTTCCGCTAGTCCACTGGACAAAGAAGATTTTCTCCCACCAAATAAAGTCATAATTATAATCCGACCTTCTCACTTGTGCTCCTCAGGCTTCGTGGAGCTGAGCCTGTCAGACCAGATCCACCTGCTGAAGTGCTGCTGGCTCGAGATCCTCATGCTGGGACTCATGTGGAGATCTGTGGACCACCCAGGAAAACTCATCTTCTCCCCGGACTTCAAACTCAACAGGTACCAACACCAGCACCTGATTTTCCATGTATGGACAATATACAATTTGCATTTTAAAAGACAGACAGACAGACAGACAGATAGATAAATGGATAAATGGATAGACAGATAGATGGATAGATATTCTATACAATACTGAATCGTTCGATACTGGTCTCAAGGTACGATACACATGTTTATTCAATACGCGTGTCGATATGCACATGTCCCTCCATGTGTGCTGTGTTGTCATTTATTTTGGTCCAAAGAGAAACAGTTCTCTTGGCCTCATCCTCAGATGGAGCAGAAAACAGCTCCACAGGGACTTACAGCTGAAATATTCAAACAGAGGAGGATTTTATCATTCTGTCGCCTTTTATTTTACTTTGATAGACCCAGGAATGACAAATACTTCAGAATCACTTTTGGCTTTACATCGGCTTTAACCAAATGCGCTCGTATACACACCTGCGACTTCACTCGTGATATACTCAACCTTTTTCTCAGACTCTGTCTCCTAAGTTTTATTCAGAAAACAGTCCACTGAGACATTTCTATGTAATATAACATAATTTGAGTGTCCAGAAAGAGGATGGGAGAGAGCAGTGTGTCTGTAACAGCACAGACTGTAGGGGGCAGAGTGAGAGGAGCTGCTGCTGCTGCAGAGGAGTGTGGACACAGGAGTGTGACGCAGTGACACTCAGGAGGAAAAGAAATCATCAAATTATCATCAAAGAAGGAAAAGTGTGATAGTGTAACTCCCCTACAGTCTATATTAAGAGTAGACTCGTTATATTATAAAATATGAACTAGCCTGAGAAACTCTGTTCTTATTTTCACTGAATCTAAATTCTGAGCTGTAAATAACTGAATCAAATGAACTAAAACACTTCACATATAAACTCCAGCTGTACACAAGTTCTACTGTAATGTGTCGTGTGTAATGTTTCATTAATATCATAGTGTTATTATATTATTATACTCAGTAGCAGAAAAGATTACATGAGATTTTTTTTTGCATCTTAAAATGTATTGAAATCGAATCAATATCATGACCCGAGTATCAAGATAAGTATCAAATTGTGGGAAAATATCGCTGCATCCCTAATAGATAGACAGAAAAATAGATAGATCCATCCATCCCAGTAATGCTAACAACAAGCATGCTAACTGTGCACTTCCTCATTCTTGGATGGTAAAACACTTTATAATTGGATCCAGACAGAGCACAGCTGTCAAGAGCTGCTTATATTAAACATCTGTACATGTGACACATTTTGTATCACATGGAAAACACATGACGGGTACAGGCTCTTTAATAGAGGCCTGTGAGGCCTGTGAGTGTTGTGATGTCATCTGAACACTACACCCTGTGTCTGTGTGTGTGGAGCTGTAGTGAGTGTTGTGTTGTTGCCGTCGGTAACCACAAACCAACGATAAACGCTGAGTCCTTGAAAGTGACAGATATAAGACCTGACATATCTGTTATTTATGCTCTACGACCTGAGCTCAATACAGGCTGTACCAGGACAGAGGAGGCGGCAGAGTGGTTAGCACTCCTCACACACAACGACAGCAAGGTCCCATGTTCAGTTCCTGTGTATAATGTATGACTGGATACCAAACAATCTATATATCTGACTGAGGTATCAAAAAGTATCCGTATGCCATAGCAATAAACAATTTAAAACTTAATATTATGTCTTTTGAATGGTCAACCGTCTCCAAAATAGCACCATATAACAGGAAGCTCAAACACTTGAATAATAAAATAAAAAAAAACATTTTAATCTATTTTAAAATTTAGCTTTTTATACATTCATATATATATATTTTTTTATTTCATTTCTTGTGTTGTTGAGGAGTTTCGATGTTGTAGTAGTAGTAGTAGTAGTAGTAGTAGCAGTAGCAGTAGCAGCAGCAGTAGCAGTAGCAGTAGTAGTAGTAGTAGTAGTAGTTTATTTACTACTGATTTCAGGCATGTACTTAATACACTGTTACAAACATTTGACATAAAACTATGACCAGAGGGGTTTAGGTTGAAGTGAAGTCACTTCTGAATGTCTGACCCGGTTTACAAATGATGCCAAGAACACAACTGTCAGCAAACAACAAGCAACAACATGGATAAAATAAAAATAAATAACCTCCCTGTACAGTCACCATCACAGTGGCAGACATCCAGGAAAGAGTCTCACGTATGAAAAACACCAGGGCCTGACATACTGACTAAAGCAGCTCACTGCTCTCCACGAGCACCTGGCAGCACAAATGAACCAGCTGCTGAAGGAGACTCACCCCTGCTGAAGCTGTACCATCCTGATCCTGAAGGATCCCTCAAACTGTACCCCTCAAAGGATACAGTCCCATCCAACTATCACCCAATAACCCGTCTCTCCACAGCATAGAAACTGATGTCAGGCATCAGCAGCTAAGATAAGAGGCACATGATCAATACATGAGCACAGCACAGAAGAGCAAATCATTTATTCTATTCTATACACTCACCTGCTTCTGTGGCCTACAGAATCTACATTCTTATCTTATTGTCTCTATGTAGCAAGAATATGTCTTTAAATCTTTCTAGTGTTCTGTATTTGTCTGTAGAATTAAATTTATAATTTTTTTAAATGCCTTTATTGACGTCGATCCTTTTAACCTGTCATCCAGACTGTTCCACAGATCTACTCCTCTAACTGATAAACATCTGCTTCTGGTGTTCGTTCTGGCCTTATTTTTTTGATATACTCCAGTTCTTCTCAGATTATAACCAGTCTCTGTGCATCTCACCTGAACACAGTCCAGACCATATGATTATGAACCTTTCACATAACAGCAGCTGTACTCAGGTCAACTCTGTCCTGTAACTTTAAGGTATTTAACTCAATAATATATTGATATCACAATACTTAGACAAACTTTATTGATCCAAAAGGGAAATGATTTGGACACAGGAGCTCACACATCACAATATAATATAATAACAAAAAGAAAAAATATAAATAGTAATAATAAATTATAAATAAGTAACAAAAATTGCAAGAGACTAGTGGTCAAATAAAGCAGAATTATATAAATGTATATACACTTGGTCTGAGATTAAAGAGAGAGTGTGTTTATATAAATGTCTTGAGGTGATTGGTTGAGAGTCAGAGAGCAGGCTGTGATTGGCTGAGTGACAGTAGAGGGTTTGGAGTCTTCCTGGTTGGATTACGACTTGAGTTTCAGTAACAGTGGTGCGTTCAGGTGCAGTCCGGTCTCTTGTGTTGAGTTTGAGGATTTGTGTCCAGGATGTGATGAAGGTTTGTCCCTGAACGCAGCTCTGTGGACAGGAAACAGGACTTGAGGGTTTTAAGGTTATTATGAAAAGCCACAGGTGAGGATGAGAGCTGGATCAGAGCTGGATCAGTCTCCTGGAGCAGAGGGAAGCAAAGTCAGCAACAAAACAAAATGAACCAAAACACACTTAAATCATAATAATAAAGAACAAAGCCTCTCAAACACATTCATACTAGGCAAGTGTAAGAACTATTTATTTATTTTATTTGTAGTTTTCGTTTATGGCAATCAGTGTATTTGGACGGTACACAGAAGAGACCACGTTGTTTCTGGAGCTTGCATATGAATGACAGAACAAAGGTTTGGATTTAATCACCTGTATTTGAAATAAATCCCCACCCCAAAAAGTTGCTAATTAGATTATTTAATTAAACAAAAGTGAATGAAATGATAACAACCAAAGACCACCTTTTTCAAAAGATAAGTACAGAAATCAATAGTTCCTTGTCAAGTTTTTTGACCTTGAGGGAGTTCAGTTCATTCCTTTGTCAGGATTTATCCGGTTCATTTCACGAATTTCTGTAATGTCCAAAATCCAAGAACCACTGGGCAAAAGAGAAAAATATCAACCCTACCAGCTCACTATCAGAGAAGAGAGTTCATTATTTAGTGTCCCATCCATAAAAACCTGACTTAAGAACAAGGTCAAAACAGGATCTCAGTTGAAAGTTACTAGTAATGAATTCATTCAATTAGTGTTGTGGAACATCATTTCAGCAATCAAAACATTTATAAAAGAAAGCTACAAACAGACAAGCGGTTACTATCAGCAGCATTGAGCAATTAGCTAAACAATGGGCCATTACCCACAAACAATGTCTTATACATAAACAAACATCTCAGCAACTTAACATGACAGCCGACTGCAAGAGAACATGTTCCAGAAGATTGAGATACAGAGTCTACGTTTACACTGATACAAATCAGCGTATCACCGTATCAGAAACTATCTGTGTCTACACACGTCGTTTGTGTGTCCTCAATCCTTCTCTATCCACACAGTTTTGAGCATATTTGTTTACATTTTACAGAAGTGAAACTTAAAACCACATGACTCATTTGCGTAAACTAAGCGCTCAAAAAGCAGCTCACTATTGTGCTGCTGATGCGGTTCAGCATTTGTCGGTCTAAAGGACACTGTTCTGCTGATGGTGAGTCTGTTCTGTGTTTCTGTCGTGTTGGAGATGGTTCACGTGAAACTTTTCAGAGATTATACGTCTGCAGGTCGTACACACAGACACACGTTTATATGAATGGACAGATATTTTAGCCTCGTAATGTTTTGGCGGTGAATTACTTTGCGGTGCACAGACCTACATCAGTGTGTCAGAGTATCAGCATTTTCAGGCATCCACACGGTGCCGGATCAGATCTGTACTCAGATGAATTCGTGGCAGCACCAGATCGTTCCATCTCTGGAGCCGTTTTCAATCGGATTAGTTTGAACGAACACTGCATCCACAACGAAAACGACTGAAATATAGTGTGGACCTTTGGACCTTTATTGGTAAATTTATCAACAAACACAAAAATACTTGCATTAGTTGAAATGTCTTGCCTAAGGACACAACTACAAGGTGGAGACTTGAACCGAGCTGAGACCAAGAGAACAGGATATCAGCGCTACTTTGAATCGTTGTTGTTAGCGGCAAAGGAAAACTAAAGCTCTAACTACGGCCTCAACCAGAGTTAAAGGGCTGTAGCTTCACATTTATTATAAAGAGGCCAAGACTGCAGTGTGTGTTTTCTATCAGGCATTTCTATTGGCGGATTGTTCAGCAGTTACCATGAAGACACAACGTACATGTCTTACCTAAGGACACAATGACAGAAATTGGTCCAAGCGAGAATCGAACCTCAGACTGCTCTAACTTCTACAGTGTACAGCCAGCCCCTTCTGTCCGAATCCAGAAGTGTCTGGAACTGGACCATAGAGAGTGAAAAATCTCTGTCCAAAATTCAGAACAAAATGTAAAACTTATTTTAGTGAGATAGTGTTGTGCTTCGATTGTTGATTCTGTTCCTGTTTCTTGGACCTTTATCTAGATTTTTCTTCTTTTTCTGTTATAAGCAGCCAAGTTTTTTTTTTTGTTGTTGCTGCAAACAGAGCATGCTTCTCTCTGACAGGACACAGCTCCAGATCCACTCGTCTTTGTCAAGTTTTGTCAAAACGTGTGGTTCTGTGGCTAAAAACAAAATGTATGTTTTGTACAGTGGTCCCTCGTTTATTGCAGGAATTACAGAGTTACATTCGAAAAATAACCCAGTATAGGTGAAATCCACGTAGTAGTCAACTTTATATTTTACAATTATTATATCTGTTTTAAGTCTGTAAAACCCCTCAGCACAAACTTTATACACTTTTCTCACACAGGACAGTTACAATCCTTTTCACATCCTTCTTAAAACTTATCACTGCTGTCGTCCTTTTGTTATTTTCCTCCTGCTTTATGTAACGAACCGAAGATTCATTTATACCGTAATGAAGCCCTACAGCTCCATGAAGCTCCATTTTTGCAGTACAACTCCGCACCCGCCCGATAACCTGAGATTATGTCAAACTTTTGTGCTGCCTACACCACAGACTGAACCAAGACTAACCCAGGACTAACCCCGGACTGAAGAGGAGGATTAAACCAGGACTGAACTAAGACTAAAACCGGACTAAATGAGGACTATACCAGAACTGAAACAGGACTCACTGATGGGACGGGCTCGGAGGTGACCACAGGAGAAAGGACAGGAGCAGAGCTCCATACCTCAGGTACAGTCCAGGATTAGTCCTAGTTTAGACCTGGTCGAGACCTGGTAGTCCTGATTTATTTCTGGTGTAGTCCTGGGTTAGTCCTGATTTAGTCTAGACCTGCTCGTGTGTAATCACTACCCTGTATCCACCCGTAAAATTCCAGAATATTAAAACCCGACCGTTTCAGCAACTATTTGCCAGTGGGTTCCCGACCTGGTGCAGGACACAATGCTTCTGCCTTCCTTCAGCATGTCCAGAAGTCCAACTTTTTATGCGATTACATCTTCCTCTGCCTTTTGGTGCGACCACAGGAGCCTTTGTCGGCGCAGAACGTTGTGTCAGTGTTGTGGGTTTTGTCAGGGAGAAAACTTCTTCAAAATCACACTGCTAGTGATCGAACATTTATGTAAATTTGGCAGCTGAACACATTCTGTTCTGTACAGGAGACACAGACACATGGAGAAGATTGATTGTAGACCATTGTCAACCAATCAGGACGCAGGAGGGAGGACCACACTGCAAATTCATACACTGTAAAAAAAAAAAAAAAAAAACATGCAAAAGTGCACTAAAGAAAGTCTGCGAAACAACGAGACTGCAAAAGGTGAACTGTGATATAGCGAGGGACGACTGTATATGTGTATATGTGTGCGAGGGACGACTGTATATGTGTATATGTGTGCAGAGGTGAGGGCCAGTGTGTGGAGGGCGTCATGAAGATCTTTGACCTTTTCTATTGTTTTATTTTACAGTTTTTTGTATATAGACTAAATGTTTTTTCTATATTTCATTGTGTTTTCAGTGTTTTCTTTTCTGTTATCATGGATCCTAAATGAATGATCTGTATGTGTGTGCAGAGATGAAGGCCAGTGTGTGGAGGGCATCATGGAGATCTTTGACATGCTCTTGGCTGCCACCTCCAGGTTCAGAGAGCTGAAGCTCCAGAGAGAAGAGTACGTGTGCCTCAAGGCCATGATCCTCCTCAACTCCAGTAAGTTTCAGTTTAAATGTATAATATGCAAATGAGACAAAACAACGTGACCACACACTGGAGTTTTCACTGGAAACGAGCAGATTGCAGATCCCCTCACTCCTGGCCTCATTTTCTTATGTCTTAAATACAGTTCTAAGTTTTTTTCTCATTTTGGCCTTAAAGTTGAAATGTTAGACGAAGGAAAAACTGTATAACTCTACTGACAACTGAATTTTATTTTGCCAGACGGAGATTTGCTGTAGATTTCTTGCTGATTTATTCACTTGCATGTTGTCAGGTATTAGGTCTACAGCAGTGACCATTTTACCTCCAATAAATCACATCCTTCCCCTTTAAAATTCTCTTGTAAATGACAAGAACAAAAGATTTAATTTAAGTTTGACTTTTTATTTAGTAAATGTATCCTCAGTGTGTTCTCTACATGAAAGACGCTTGTGTTTACTCTGAGTTTTTTAAAACACGTTACAAAAGTCTGGATAGGTCACACTGTCCTCCCTGTTTCTGTGGTTATCCCTGTCTCCACATCCAACCTTTTAAGAATAAGATGAGAGAGACAAGTTTAAGGTTAAATCTAAAACTGAGGGAGGTGAAATTCATGCAGAGAAAAATGTAAGTGAGTTTATTTATTCATTTATCAGTATCAGTGCACCTAAAAAACACTGACATGGCCTGTCTCATCAATACATCAGCTGTGACATCAGAGACATTCTGTGGGAGTGAAGTCAGCTCAGACTTCTTCAGTTTGAACCAAACCTTTATCGAAGACACAGCTCAGACCGAGACAGCACTTCATCAAACACTTCACTCTCTCTGCTCCACTGTTTGCATTCAGCTCTAACAGGGCCACTCTGAGTTACATGTCCATCATTAAAAGTTGTACAGCCTGGCACAAAGCCTGGGTCTGCCCGTGGACTTCAGAGTCCACCAGGGCATCAACCCCCGCCCCAACTTTATCCTCCGGGCTTCAGCCAGGATGACCTTCAGCGTCAAACGAGGGGCTAACAGGAGAGAGGCCAAGATCAAGGCCTGTGTCATGGTCTTAAAGTAGCTGGAGATGCACCAGAGGAACCATGAATACGCTGATGGCTACGCCAATGCCGATGGCAACCTCCCGCCCCACAGTCGTCTGGACTTTGGTCTGGGCAAAGACCTGTGCACTCGCCTGTCTTAGCTGCTCATTGCTGCAAACTCGCACCCGCCCAGTAGCACCTGCTGGAGGGCACAGTGACTGGTGCCCAGTGGACCTTCTCCATGGAGGAATCCCTGGACCATTACACTGTGCTGGGCAAATGGGGCTTCAAGAAGGACGTCAGAAGAAGAGCAACCACAGCTCCACTCTGTCAGACTACAGCAGAGCCAACTGCTGAACCAGACAACGCTCTGAAGAACCAGAGTTTAACTCATACAGCTTCAGCTCCTGAGACCAGAGCTTCAGAGACAGTTTCTGGTGACTGGAGTCTGATGACATTGGACAGGAGAGCCAAAGTCCAGACTCTGTTCCAGAAGTGCTCCAGTTTGAGTTCCTGCAGATCTATGACCAAAGAGCTTCAGAGACAGATGGACCTTCTGTTGAGGAGCAACATATGACATCAGAAGAAACTGACCAGAGTCAAGAGTAGCTCGATAGCAGCTCAGAGGGAGTTCTCAGTCCACCTGAGTCCCACACAGAAGAGGAGGTCCCAGATCACCTCCAAACTGCAGAGGTGCAGCTCCACACTGCAGAGGACTTAATAATAGAAGTGTGAGAAGCTGCAGACTGAAGAACCAGCCTCAGCTCCAGAGCTCCTCAGGCCTCTCAGACCCTGGACTTTGTGGAGAGCCTGGTGATCCACGCTCTGGTCAAGAAGCTGCTGCAAAAGGTGCCGTCCAAAATGAGGTCCCACCATGATGCACTAGTACAGACTCTGGAGAAGGCTCTGGTTTAAAGTCTCAGATGAAGTTCATCTAAATTCCAAGAATAACAAGAAGCTGGGCAAAGCCAGAGCCAGAGACCTGATCGAACAATATGGCTCCAAGCTCCTGGTGATGGCTTTAGGACCAGAGCTCTCAGAGTTCCAGTAGGACGCCATGGACCATCTAAACATTCACCTAAATGCTTTCAGGAACCGGCCCAGAACTGGTCTAACATGATACTTTTCACAGTGGGTCAAGCCCAAGAAGAGGACCTCTTACACAGCGCCCCCTTTGTCCTCGTTTGGTAGAGAGGGGTCAGAGGTCATCGTCTGGACACTTTTGGAGCTGGGATGTTTCTCTGCTCAGTTTTAAAATGTTTAACCACCTAAACAAAATAGATGAATTAAATGCCATACTGTGGAACATTGTTACATTTATTCATGTTTTACTCTGGGGATCAGTGGTTTACAGTAAAACAGTCTTGGTTATCGTCTCTGAACCAAACTCCATTTGACTCTGGTTTTAAATGTGTCTTTAAACATAAATTGTAGAATCTGTTTCTCCATTAACTGTAATTGAATTTACATTTCTGCCTGTAAACCTGCTCCTGACCTCAACAAACCCAAACTGCTCCTCACTGCCCCCTGGTGTCGAAGTCTGAGCATGTGGATTTAATTAAGACACTTCTAAAGGAACAGTTTAACATTTTCATCTTGTGTTACATTACATCACTTTACTGCACTTTACTATACCAATAGTCCTGGTTCAGTCCTGGTTTCATCCTCGTTCAGACCTGGTTTAGTCCTGGTTTAATCCTGGTTTAGTCCTGGTTTAATCCTGGTTTAGTCCTGGTTTAATCCTGGTTTGGTCCTAGTTTAGTCCTGCTTTAGTCCCGGTTTAGTCCTGGTTTAGTCCCGGTTTAGTCCTGCTTTAGTCCCGGTTTAGTCCCGGTTTAGTCCTGGTTCAGTCCTGGTTTAGTCTCGGTTCAGTCCTGGTTTAGTCCTGGTTCAGTTCTGGTTTAGTCCTGGTTCACTCCTGGTTTAGTCCCGGTTAAGTCCCGGTTAAGTCCCGGTTCAGTCCCGGTTTAGTCCCGGTTCAGTCCCGGTTCAGTCCCGGTTCAGTTCTGGTTTAGTTCTGGTTCAGTTCTGGTTCAGTTCTGGTTTAGTTCTGGTTTAGTCCTGGTTCAGTTCTGGTTTAGTTCTGGTTTAGTTCTGGTTTAGTCCTGGTTCAGTTCTGGTTTAGTCCTGGTTTAGTCCTGGTTCAGTTCCGGTTTAGTCCTGGTTCAGTTCTGGTTTAGTCCTGGTTTAGTCCTGGTTCAGTTCTGGTTTAGTTCTGGTTTAGTCCTGGTTGAGTTGCATGTTTTTTTTGCAGTGAAAACAGCTCAAAGTTTCAAAAGAAAATATATATGGGCAGTAAAAACTTATTTGCTGCTCCATTTTCCATTTTTATGCCAGATGCCCTTCCTGTTGCATCCAGACACATTGCTGTTACCGGAGTGGGCAAAATGTGTCTTGCTCAGGGGCACAGTGACATTATTCTCAATAGTGGGACTTGTACCATAGACTCTGAAACCGCTCTCATTTGACTCTCCAAGTGAAATATGTCGACTGATCTCTCTTTTATTAAAATGTACACTTGGTAAATCTCCTTAAAAGAACATGAGGTTCTATTGAAACTTTAATCACTCTTTTATTAAAAATGTCAGCGATTGAGAGGTGTTATGATCTTAATTAAATCTGAGAAAGGCTTGAATACTCGAGTACTATTTTGGGTACTTCTGTCCAATGAAGCCTATGGGACAAATACGTCTTTAAAAAGTGCTCTGCTTTCAGATGCAGATGGAGTCCAGACTAGTGATGGACATTTGATTCAATTTTCTTAATCGATTATCGGGAGAATTAATGATTGATTTTCGATTAATCATTAACATTTTTATATGAAAATTATCATAATTATTATTACTATCTGCACTACTAATCTGCAAAAATAAACTCAACTTTACAACATATAAGCAGTGTTGGGAAGGTGACTTTTAAAATGTATTCCCCTACAGATTACAGATTACATCCCCCAAAATGTAGTTTGTAACATAATCCATTAAATTACTTAAAGTGAGTAACGTAATCTGAATACTTTGGATTACTTGATTTGCTGTAGAGAAACAAAGACGAGAATATTGTAACATAAGAAATTTTGTCTGCTAAAAGAAAATAAAAAGTCCAGACTTTACTGAACCAAATTAAAAAATATTATTGATAGAAGAAGAGGAGACACGTCCACACAGCATTTAGTTCTGTTAAATCCTGTTTTAGTCCTGGTTTAAATCTAGTTTAGACCTGGTTTAGTCCTGGTTTTGACCTGGTTTAGACCTGGTTTAAATCTAGTTTAGACCTGGTTTAGTCCTGGTTTTGACCTGGTTTAGACCTGGTTTAGATCTAGTTTAGACCTGGTTTTAGTCCTGGTTTAGTCCTGTTTTAGTCCTGGTTTAGGTCTAGTTTAGACCTGGTTTTAGTCCTGGTTTAGTCCTGGTTTTGACCTGGTTTAAATCTAGTTTAGGCCTGGTTTTAGTCCTGGTTTAGTCCTGTTTTAGTCCTGATTTAGATCTAGTTTAGATCTAGTTTAGACCTGGTTTTAGTCCCAGTTTAGTCCTGGTTTAGACCTGGTTTAGATCTAGTTTAGACCTGGTTTTAGTCCTGGTTCAGTCCTGTTTTAGTCCTGTTTTAGTCCTGGCTTAGATCTAGTTTAGACCTGGTTTTAGTCCTGGTTTAGTCCTGTTTTAGTCCTGGTTTAGGTCTCGTTTAGACCTGGTTTTAGTCCTGGTTTAGATCTAGTTTAGACCTGGTTTAGTTTCTGGCAATGAGTGGAATTACAGAAAAAACAGGAAAATAGCGCCGTGTAATCTGTTTATTTCAACAAAGTAACTGTAATCCAATTACCACTCACTGAAACAGTAACTGTAACTGAATACAGTTAATCATAATTTGTACTCTGATTACATAACTCTGGTACATGTAATCTGTTACTCCCCAACACTGCATATAAGCCAGAACCACTCTAGAGCCACATCAGCCTAAACTAAACTCAAAAACTAAACTTAAAACCAC